CGGTACTTTTTCCAATATGCAAATTGTCAGCATCCATATGCCCTGTTTTGCACAAGAAAGGGAAGCATAATGCATTGTTGTTGAATATTGAGGAAGTGTACAGGTGGCAAAAATTATCCTGGAAATATACAGGAAAGGCCAGTGGGTTTCTTGGATTGTAAACAACACTTTCAGTAAAGCTAGATGGTCATTTCTTGGGCCAGTGGAAAGATTCCAAATAACAAGTTTCCTCAGTAAATTATGGAGGGATAAGCAAAGCAAAACAAAACAAACCAACAACAACTAAGCAAGCAAGCTCATGCTACACTATGTTAAACTTCAATGCAACATTTCCTGGAAAATATACTACTTACTGGCAGAGCAATCTAACCAAACCGGCTGTTTAATTTTGCAACAGACATACTGCTATAGTATTGAATTTGCATGATGATACATGGTTTACGAGGTAAGCAGTGGTTATTTGAAAATAACAACTCTGATGTGAGGAAAGAGGTGGGATAAGCTGCTTCTGTAAGGGTGAGAAGTCCAATGTCTTTCCCTTAGTCAAAGCAGACATACAAAACAGGGCATCTGTTTAAAAGGAAATGTCAGCAATTGCTTCTTTGTCTGCCTTTTTCCGCTTTCCCTCCAATATAACAATATGACAGGTCTCATCATCCTGCACCGCCCTTTGAATTTCATTACTCTATAAACTCTACTTAAAAAGAACAAAACATCCTCACAATAGGCTTTCAATAGGTGTGTTCCTACAAAGTACCATTCTATCCACCAAACTTAACTTGAACGGCCGACAATGAAAACAAACAAAGCTACATTATAGCTTGAAGTATGGCCTACTTCACACAACACACTTAGATTTATTATGATTGCTTGCACAGTCAGCCAGATGTTTAGACTTTGATTTGGCCTTTTTTTTTTTTTTTAAGCAACCTATCAAGTCCTTCTCAAGAACCTGGGATAGGGAGATTTTTTTTCATGGTGTTGAAAGTATCACCATGGGATGTAAGCTGTTCCATGGGAGACTGCCTTTTGCAATTGACTGATAGGGATTTTTGTCAGTGCCCGATGCATCCAAGCACCTATTACTATTGATACTATCTTTGCTTTCTTTTGCCATAGTTGTTCTATTTCTTTCTGAAGGTCTTTATATTTTATATTTTTAACCCAATTCCTTCTCTTTTCTTCTGGTGTCTCCAGGTACTGCAATGTCCAATATCCAAACTTTTTTGTTTTTCTTCTCAGCAAATGTCAAATCTGTGGCACATGCTTGTCTGTTTGAATTCTAAAGTCCTAGAGCACTTTAGTATCTTTATTTCTTATCTTACTTTGTCTATTTTGTGGTCCCACCAGTTGTTGCTTGCTGCAAAAGGTATTTCTTGCAGATATTCAAATGTTGCTACTTTGTTATGCCATTGTTTCTCATTAATCTGTTGATTGTCTTGCAGCAACTAACTAGATGATCACTATTTGGTTTGTTTTTTTTAATTAAAGTTCATTGCAGTCAATCATATGTTTAGACTGGGTTTGGCATTTTATCCTCCTATCGAGTCCTTCCCAAGGACCTGGGATAGAAAGATGTTGTTCTTTGATGGTGTTAAAGGTATTGTCAGATGTAAGTTCCAAATAAAGCTGCCTTTGCAATTGACTGATGGTGATTTTACAGATGGCGTTCAAGTGGTGCTCCAAATGTTTTGGGATTGTACCCAAGCTGCCTATCATTATTGATACTTTACTTTCTCTTGCCACAGTCATTCTACATTTATTTGCAGAGCCTTGTATTTTGTGATCTTCTGCAGTTCTTTCTATTCTGCTGTCTCCAAGTATTGTTTTATTATTATTTTGGACTTAGCCATTGTAGTTTGCAACCATGGCTAAGATACTGAACCAGAATTAGGGAAACTTATCCACCTTTAGCTCTGGAAGTTCACTGGATGACTCTCTCTCAGCCCAACCTACTTCACGGACCATTACTCTAGACAAAAAAACAGAAGGGATGCCATATGTACTTGCCTTGAGCTCTTAGAAAGAGAAGAGAAAGATAAACATAAAAAATAAAAATAACTAAGTGACTTTCTTCACCCAGCATCTAAATCTTAACATGGGTATCTTTGGCTTTGGCTAACCACCTTATGTGTCCCATATGAGCACATCATTGAGAAGAACCATGTTTATTGCAAAATAGGGTGCCTGCTGTAGAAGAAAGAAGGACCTTGAACAATGGAGAAGATTATTATAGAAGTTGAGAGCTACAAGGTGGGACATTAATCTAGACAATCCAATTTGCTGGTCAGTATGGGGGGTGCTAGGCAGGTCTTTCCCAGTACTATTGTGAGGCAAAATGGGTTCTTCAGCAGAGATGAAGAAGTTCGCTGTGAAGAAGATGGAATGCTGAGGTCATCAGCTGAGGTAGGTGGAAGGTTGGGGTTTCTCTAAATTGCAATTTCCTTGTAACAGCTGCCCTTGGGCTGTGCTATGAACCGATGAAGATGTTTCTATTCTCTGGTTTTATGAAATTGCATGGGTATTGCCTGGGGCAGGCAAGGAAGGTCAATTTAAATCTGATGGGATTAGGCAAAGAGAGGAAGTGGTTTTGACCCCAGGCCATATCTAAAAGACAGGGGAGGGAGAAGGTTGCAGTCTCTTTTTGTTTGTTAAATTTATTTTCTCCAGGACAATAACATATCCCAGTTTGACTTCTAGTCAAGCAGAAGTATTGGTGTTTTTTTCTTCTTCCAAATTATGTTGGTGGGGGGTGGGTTATCACAGAGGTGGTATTCAGCAGGTTCTGACCTGTTCTGGAGAACCGGTAGCAGAAATTTTGAGTAGTTCGGAGAACCAGCAAATACCACCTGTGACTGGAGATTTTACAGTATCCTTCCCCTGCCATGCCCACCAAGCCATGCCCATGGAACTGGTAGTAAAAAAATATGAATCCCACCACTGGGTTATCATAAGTAAAAATAGATAGCTCTGCTATAATTCTTCTTCCTGACAAACTAGGTTCATTCTTGTTTTATAATATGCAAAGATCTTTGTTTTGTCTGATGAAGCAGTCAGTCAGATGGGGTTAAAAGTGGGAGAGAGTTTGGACAATGAAATTGAAAAGTTTTTGAAGTCCGTGACTTCTACTATTATTAAGATTGTTGGAAGCGTTTGAAAGAGATGCTTCACAAAGTGTGAGAATACAATGAAACCGTTCTCTTCAGATTGTTAAAGCTGCTGCATTTTGAGCATGAGCTTTGCAACAGGTTGAGAAATACTTTTTCAAATTTTTGCTCAGTTCTAAACGTTATGCTATTGAATATTTTCCTTTTAAATAAATGTTTATTCATAATTTCATTGAATAACTATTACTGACAATTTCCTCTCAGCATAAATCAAGAATGCCCTCTTGTGTGGAGAATGAAGAATAGCACATTAATCTGACCGAAAGTGGCATGGATTGGCAATCATGGACAGACTAAATCATCATCATCAGATGAATTAGTAACTGGCTGACTCAGTGTGCAGTCCTTACTGGAGTTGCATCTACATGGAGGGAAGTATGCAGTGAAATACCTCAAGGTTCTGCCTCAACATCTTTATCAATAATTTAGATGATGGGATAGAAGGGGAACTCATCAAATCTGCAGATGACAACAAGTTGGAGGGAATAACCAATACTCCAGAAAGTAGGTTCAAATTACAAAAGGATCTTGACAGACTTGAACACTGGGCTCTATCTAATAAAATGGCATCCAATAATGAGAAAAGTAAGGTTTTACAATTAGGCAAGAAAATCCAAATGCACAGATGTAGAATAGGTGGTACTTGGCTCAGTAGTAATAACTGTGAGAAAGATATTGGAGTCCTAATGGACAACCACTTAAATATGAACTAACAATGTGCTGCAACCACCAAAAAAAGCCAACACAGTCCTTAGACTGCACTGACAGAGGGATAGAATCAAAACCACATGAAGTGTTAGTACCACTTTATAATGCCTTGATAAGACCACACTTGGAATATTGTATCCAAGTTTGATTGCCATGATACAAAAAGGTGTTGAGACTCTAGAAAGAGTGCAGAGAAGAGCAATAAAGATGATTAGGTGACTGGAGACTAAAACATTTGAATGGTTGCAGGAATGTGCAGGTTGTCTTGTCCTAAGAAGTGACATGATACAAGTGTTCCAATATTTGAAGGTCTGCCACAAAAAAGTGGGGTCAAGCTATTCTCCAAAGCACCTGAAGGCTAACAAACAATGAATGGAAATTAATCAAGGGGAGAACAAACCTAGAAACAGAACAATTGAGCAGTGGAATGGTTTGCCTTCAGAAGTTACGGGTACTCCAATATTGGAGGGTTTTAGGAACAGATTGGACAGCCATTTGTCTGAAATGGTAATGCAGTGGTTGGACAAGAAGTCCTCCATGGTCCCTTCCAACTCTGTTATTCTGTTAACTGCTATAATGTTTCTTGTGCTGAAGCATGAAGGATAGATGGATACAACTATTTTAAAGAGAACTCTTATTTGCAAGTTGATATATAATCGAGTTAATTCAGATTTTTTCTGTTGGTTTTCACCATATTCATTTTTCTGCCAGATTCTTTTTCCAAGTCAAAAGCTGCTTTTCTTCTTCCTCACTTCCCTAACCTGCTTCCAGTTGCTTGCTTTTGAAATAGCTAATTCCAAATTCCAAATATTGTTATCCATTTAAAAAAAAAAATCATGTTAATGATAATTACTATTTAAGATTTTCCTTTTGTCAATGTTGCAAGAACAAGCCAATCATTTCTATCCATAAAGAGAGAAGGTGGAATTATAATTGATATTAAGGTTGGCTGATTGGTGCAATGAAATCAGTTTCCCTGCCACAAACAAACAAAACAAACACAGATTATCTTCTTCCCTTAGGCAGACAAAGGTGAAAAGATGAACAGACGCATCCAAATGTAGAGAACAATGATTATCAAAACATTTGACCTGACTGATGAAATTTAATTCAGTTGATGCTTACCTTTTCCTGACGGGAAGAAGCAGTCCATTTCTACACTGCTCCGGGAATGGGAGATGCAGAGAGCACTGCTGGGAACCAGACCTTCTTGAGGTGGACTCCTTTCTGTGGTCCGTACCAGGCACCAGCCTGGTCGTTCACTTGGCCTTTCGAGTAACTCCACAGTCTGTCCCACCTGAATACTCAGTTCACTGCTGTGACTGGCAACATAGTCTTGCAGCACCACAGTTAGTTCACATCCTCCAGACAGCTATGATGAAAGAAGGAGAAAGTAAGAGGAGAAATAGACTACATTTGACTGAATATAACAATATCTTAATGAGGTGTGGTGGCCTAGCTGTTAAGATGCTGGTCTTGTCAACCAGAAGGTAGGCAGTTCGAGACCCAAGCATCATATGATGGGGTGAGCTTCTGTTCCTGCCTCACCATCTACCAACCTAACAATTTGAATGCAAGTAGATAAATAGGTACCAGTTCAGTGGGAAGGTAACTGTGTTCCATGTGACTTGACATATCAGCTCATGACCATGGAAACTTTTTTACACAACCCTCAGCTAGGAAACGTTGATGAGCATCATCCCCTAGAGCAGGGATGTCAAACTCATGACATGTCATCACGTGATGTATCACAACTTCCCCCCCTTTGCTAAACCAGGGTGAGCGTGGCCAGCGTGTGACACATCTGGCTCACCAGGCTGTGAGTTTGACACAGGACTGGGGTCAAACTCACAGCCTGTGGGCCAGATGCGTCACATGCATTCTAACATGACTGGACAAGGAAAACCTTTACCTTTTTAAAAACAATATATTAGGTTATACTGAACCCTGATACCCAACCTCCTTGCTCACTTCTTTAAAAAAAAATCTTAATTTGACTGTTTGGAGTAGGCATACACATGCAACCATGTGTGTGGTGTGCCAGCCCTTTTTGAAATATTGCGGCCAAATGTCTCTGTTGCCAAGATGGCTATGCCACCAAGATTATGGAACCACTTCTGTGGCAAAATGCATGCTGACAAGTGTCCTCCAACACCTTAGCATTCACAAACAATGTCAGCTCCAACTGCTATAGTCACACAGCTAGCTAACAAACAACAGATCAGTATGCCACCTGTTATTTGTGGTTTGTAATTATTTTTAATCTACCAGTCTGGCCCTTTCCCTATCTAGGAGTTGTGCAGGCCTGATTTAGAATTAGAACTAATTATGGGTTACACACCAAGTTGGATGTTATTTACTGCAGTTTTTCATATTCTATGGCTTCTAAATCCTACTCGAATAGATCATTTGCTATTAACTATCAGTTATGGGCCAAATCAGAAGTAATGAGGAATTACTATCATTGAACACCACTCTGGGTGGAAAACTGAATACTGTTACTTCAAGAGATTGGAACATTCTGACTTTCATGTATCATTACTAACAAAGTATTTCTTTTTCTCCTCTGCTAAATGCCACTTAAAGTATAGGATGAACTATGACTCTAGCTCATTTGGATTCCAGCCAGATTAATTATACTGATATTCACCAAGCACAGGAAGTAGTTTCTAGCAGCTACAAGAAAATCCTTTGGATAATTAATTTTCATTATCACTGTGAGGCAGCACTACTAACCTCCCTGAAAGAATCCCCAGCTTTCCCTTCAGTTCATTTCAACAAGCTGTTGAGTAGCAAACATGTTAACAACTAGTGTGAGTCAGAATCTCATGGTTTGCTCATGTTGAGGAAAAGAAAAAGGAGTTTTTTAACTGATTTATTCCAGTATTGTTGAAATTCTATGTTTCTATAGCAAATGATACCATTTTAGATACCGTTTTCACCTCTATCAGTGATTAATTACATTGACCACCAGGAGACACAGCGTTACTGGTTTCGTCATTATTGGGAGTCATTAGATATGGGTAGCAGGGTGTTGTTTTAGGGAATTGAGCTCACATACATTTGCGTTTTAGATGACTATATATAGTGCATCAGCTTTAAGAACTATCCATGTCCTAACACTCAGCTGTTTCAGGAAGAGTTTTCTAGAAAGGGTTCTAATAGCTTCTATCAATAACTCTTCATTATGGGCTCATATAGTGCATATTATTAGTTATTTTGTACTAAATCTCCACATTCAATTGCTGAGAAGTTCTGTTTTCTTTATGCCTTGAAAGACAGAAAGAAGAGCTGTTACCAAGGCAACAATCAGACCAATGTGGCTTGAGCCCCACACCAAGAAACTAATTTGAGTAACAGTCTCAGACACACATACACACCGCCAGTTCACACAAAGACAAAGGCAGGGGACAGGGAAAAGATATTCAGACTTGCAAAATTTTGTTACTATAGCTGTTAAAATAAAAGTTCCTGTCCTATATAGCATTGGTTTCTTTGTATGGTCTACTTTATATTGCTGGCAGCTTCAGATATGATTGGTTCACCATCACTAGCTGTGCTGGACATACACTGAATATGAGGGAATTTACTCTCAAGTAAGCACCATGTAAATGTATACCAGGCTACACTCTCAGTCCCTACAACTGCAACGTATTTATTTATTGATTATATTTATATGGCCACTCATCTCCTATAGGACAACTCTGGTGTACACACAGCCCAAAAATTCAATTTCAAAACATTTCAAAAATTTTAACATCATTATAAAAGGCTAAGAGAGCATTGAATTGTATACAGTGGAGCCATCTAATCAAATCAGCATTCCATTATGACTCTCCAGGTCTATGGACACAATCAAGTTTTAATGGCTGTCCATAAGGTTAGGAGAGATAGGGCCACTCTCACATCAGGGAGAATTATGCTCCATAGGGTGAGTGCCAGAGCAGAACAGGATCACCTCCTGGTCCTGTCAAGCATCAGGGAAATCAGAAATTCATGCAGTTCAAATGAGTATAAAGATTTATTGGAAACTTAAGCTGTCTACAAGAATCTGACTAACAATCAAGAGAAATGAGCGGAAGATAAGATAGAAATTCAAGGTGGGATGGACTTAGACTTCTTGTGGGCATGCAGGGATCGTAACCTCCCTCAGTCTCAGCCACGTTATCTCCTATAGTTCCTGTCAAATATAACTCCTTACAAACATGACTTGCAACATACCTCTTCTGCCAAACCTGAGGAAAGAGGTGGTCCCTCAAATAATTCAGCCCCATGCCACAAAGGGCATAAAGGTAAAAAAAAAACAGCAACTTGAATTGAGCCCCATGTTTACGAAGGCAAAGAAAACAAAAGTCTGCCTGCTAAGTGTGAATTTTTCATACACTTTCATAATTTTACGATAAAAGCACAGACTATGATGACATTGAAAAATTAACATTACATTAGTAAAATGTTCCTTGCCATATGCATATCCATTAACATTTATTCATTTTCCTTAACATCTTTTCCCCAGGGCAACTACATATCTGTGTTCAATAAAGGGAGTCAATGTTACCATGTAACAGCAAAAGCAAACAAGAAAAAAAATGTGCAGAGCGATGGATTTGATGGATAGGAAATATTACACGTTGCCAGTATTGTAAAATGTAATGAGTTTTCACGCTAACGCTGAGATCAAATGCTATAACAATGGACAGCAACAATGGCATTTTAAAAAATAGGCTATGGCAGCTTTTCCCAACCTGAGTACTTTCTAGCTATGTGGGCTTCAACCTTCAGAATTTTCAACAAAGGCCTAACTAGCTAGAAAATGGAAACCCATCTTTCTGGAACTTCTGAAAGGCTTAATAAAATAGGTGGAGGTGCTAGAGCAGAGATTTTCTGCCAAATTTCCTACCCTAAACATTCATTTAGTGACCATTGGACGTTACAAAGGCAGTGCAAAAATGTGACTTTTAGCCTGTCCACTTATAACCGTTGCAGCATTCCCATGGTCACCTGATCAAAATCCGGTTGCTTGGCAACTGGCATCTATTCATGACAATTGCATTGTCCTGTGGTCATATGATCATTATCTGTAATCTTCCCAGCTGCCTCCCAAACAAATAAAGTCTATGGAAGAAGCCAGATTCACTTAATGACTGCATGATTTGCTTAACAACTGCAGTGATTCACTTAACAACTGTGGGAAAAAGATTATAAAATGGGGCAGAACTCACTTAACAACTCTCTTGATTAATAACAGAAATTTTGGGCTCAAATTGTGGTCCTATGTTGAGTACTATCTGTATTTATTTCTATAGCATGATTTTCCCTCATAAAAGCCAATTACCATTTTTGTCATGGCATTCGTGTATGGAGTAAATTATCACAGCTTTTAAAAAAAGCTACTAGATTTTCATATATCCTGCAGTAAGTGAGACTAGAAAAATGGAATGTCTTTTGGCAGATCTGGATTCAAGGATAAGTCCAACTATAATAAATGCTGTTGTATTTAGTGTAAGCTATTGTGCTTGAAAATGCTTACTATTACCACTTAAAATAAATACAAAACATTATCCAGTTACATCACAACTAGCCAAATAACTACGTCTGGTTAATATTAGCTTTTTCATGCTCTTTGTAAATATGTCCTGCATAAAAGTAATCTGTGGGAATGCTAAACAATATTGTGAAGATAGTTGCATAAATAAATTTCCTTAACTAAGAACCATATTTCCTTTTTCAAAAACCCAATGCACTTCTATTTATCACTGAGAGAAAAAAATAGTGAGAAAACTTAGGTAAAGTATAGAATATACGAAAAATCTTATTCATTAAATATTGCCTAAACCTGTGAAAACAGTATTCCTAAATACTTAGGAAGGCAATTCTCCAATCGGATTAAAACAAAGTATTTTCTGAATACCAGCAAAAACTTTCAATTTTTGTTAACACTGCCACTGTTATTTAGTAGGATCATATACAGTAATTGAGAGAAATAGGAGACTAGGCCATCCACAAATGATAAAAAGACTATTCCATATCTAAACAGGAAGATCAGATGAGTATCTATTGAGAAAGATCATTATTTTCTATCTTTAGATGGGAGCAGGAAAAGCAAAAGAAACTTGATTGTTGAACATTATGGGAGGACTGTTGAATGCCCTTTGATTTTCCTGCTCCCACTTGAGTGAAAGACCAAAAGCAAGACAAAAATTGTGGTTAAACAATGCATAATAATTCTTAACCTGATTTTGTGGGATATGTTAATAAGAACTTTAGATAAATTTGTTTTATTTATTTCAGAATATTAGTTAACATTTAAAAACATAACTCAAAGCAGGGGATAATGAAAAACAGTTTTACTCCAAATTAAAAACATCATATCCA